CTTTCTTGAAATGGTTCATGAAAGAAGATTTGTATGTGATACAATCAAAATGGTTTTGAAAATCCAATAATCCTAAGGATGCATAATAGATCCATTTATGGATCAAAGTAAGCATCATAGAGTTAGAATCTTCAATTTAATGAGTTAATCAAATCAGTTAATATCCTCATAAATGAAGGTCTTGTGTATACAAGATGTTTAGTGGGAGCTATAAAGTCTTCTTGGTCTAAGTACAAAAACGATTATTCCATGCTTGAAGGATCAAGTGATGGCTAATGTATTTTGTATGAAAATCCTTGAAGGGAAAGATGAATACATTTGGGATTCAAGATCTATAGAGATAGGTCTCGAAGGATGTTTAAGCTTTATTGAGAAACTTATATTGATAAGATTCTTATGAGGTTCAACATTATATTGAAAGGAGTTTCAAACCCATGTAACATGGCACATTGCTTAACAAGATTCAATGCTTTGAGAAAGGCTGATGAACTTAAGGGATGAGTGATACTCCTTGTACATTTTGCAAAGGATATATCATGTGTGTCATGGACTATACTCGTCTATTTGATTCACATGTTTTAAAAACATGTGGTGATAGATTTCAATTGAAAACCAATGTAACATTGGAATACAATTTAGAAATTCCTAAATTCCTATTGCATGGAGATGAATATTATTATAAAATTTAGAAGTTGCAAAATTGATGTGTTATGAGAATGTCTCATGAATTGTATTAACTAAACTATTTCAATAGCCTACAGACACAGAAGGCTCATTTGAAATGAACATGATGGTGAATGGTTTTGATTGTGTGCTAGGGAGTCACAATTGCAAAATCATCAGTCATGTTTCCCTATGTTTAAATTGAAACAAAGTAGTAAATAAAATGTTCAAAATAATTATGAATTGTTGGGATCATCAAAAAAGTGATTTGGTGAATGAAACCCCACAGGCAAACTGAATTCATAAATTATTTTAATTTCCTAGTTTGAAATCATTAAATTGGACATAAATGATTTCAATGAATGGACTGGCATGTAAGATTGATTGGATAGCGCAGTTTCATGGGCTATAGGGGCATAGAGATGCTCGGTCAATCATGGATATGCATGAATGATGCATGATCGAACTATTAACCTACTTTGAAGTTCAAGTATAGAAATTTCGGATATATTAGTGGAATCCTTTGACATGAGTGGAACACTGATTTCATTCGATGATTGTTTTAATTGCGGTACACCCAAACATCATGCCGTAAAAGGGGACTATAAAAGGTTTTTCCTAGTTACTTCAAAAGTTGAGTGGGAGCTTTAGTTTCCTCAAGATTGGATTGAGTCTACCTATTTAATTAGCAAATGTGTCATTGCCTCTTGAAGAGGGAAGAATTGAGAAAATGCATGGTCGTGCACAAATGGATTACATAGTAATCATTTGTTTTGCAATTCTAACTCAGGTTTCAAGAAATGATTTGTAGATTAATATGATCTCGACATGTGATGCAATCATATTATCAAATTGACACATATTGACTAAAGGAATTTGAATACTGCACACTTGTCTCAGACAAATGGCAGATTGAAGGTTTTATATCTTCATCAAGTGCAATTACTAGATATATAATGGATCAAATTATGGAGATAATTAAGTTTGTTCTTTTGAGTCGTCGTTTTATCATAGCTAGAGGTACTTACGATCTTTGGACTAGTAAAATAGCCCAAAGCCCAATCGAATGGATCCTATAAGGTCACACAAAGGGGCTAGATTGAGCATAAGAGGAAGAGGCCCATGATAGGCCTTCTCACTCTAGGTGGTCGGCTATGTGGATAGTATTGGAGGGTTTGGGCTTTGCTTCCTAGTCTAATTATAATATGATTATAAATATACTAGGTGCCTAGGGTTGAACAAAATATTCAGTGATCTTTTGATCAATCCCTAATTAGCAAACACAAACCAACCCCTCTCATACTCCCTCTCACATGTCTCTCTCTCTCCTCCTTGTGCCGGTGGTGTGCACGGTGGTGGTGGTTCGTGGTGGTCGGTTGTCCACAAAGGTGGTGATTGTGGTGCATTCCTCCTTCATCCGACCAATATAGCATTGGTGGACAACTCATTCGAATCCCGTGGACTTAGTAGAGGAACAACGCTTAGACCTCTATTCTCTCCCTAATTGATAGTTAATCACATCGTGGAAAACACGCGTCAAAGGTATGAATTATGTGATTCTTCATGTGTTATGCTTGTAGATCTTGTTTAGGTGCGAACGAATATGATTAGTGAAATTCCGCAATATAGTACCTAAATCCCTACAATTAGAACATTCATCAACTTCTCATTAAGTTGGTTATGTTTCTCCACTAAAGGTTCAAGTCTTGTAACTACTTCGGTCACTACACTCTTTGATAATGCCACGTTAGTCGCGTTTAGAGTATCATTAATATCTAGAATAACTCTATCTACCTGTCTTGTAACCGCTTGTTGGGTAATTGAGTCCAAGTTTCTCAACTCGACCGTTACCACTCTAGCAGTTTCTTCCACCATGACACGATAGTAGTTATCAAACTGCTCTCTGTTGTTTTTTTGTAGATCTTCCATCAGACTCTTCACAATATCCACTTATTTAGTGTAAATTATATTGAGTAAGTGTCTGGTAGGAGACTGGCCTTCTACTCCTTCTAAAACCTATTCATCTTGCCTCTATGTGTGAAGCTCAAATGGTTCGAAAGAATGTGCCATATGTTTGATTGGCAGTTGATTTTCTAGATCTAGTTGATCCCCTAAAATAGTTTCAAGATTGTGTTAAGATGAATTAACATCTTCCTGAGTGTTTCCTTTACGCGCTGAACGCTTAGGAGCCATGGGAAAAACTTCCAAATTAACAAAGTTACATGGATTTGGTTTAGTGTTCACCCACTATGGTCGCCAAAATACTTATTGAGGTAAAATTGTTCTTTACCAACAAGTTAAATACTCTATCTTGTTCTAGAGTATAAGGGGGTTGCCCCTCGAGTTACCGGTTTCAAAGATTGATAACCTTGCTAACGTAAAAACAAACAATAAGGAAGATTTCCCAAAAGAAGTAAAACAAGTTAGATTGCTCAAAGAAACGAGTAAATAAACATATGACGAAAGATACAAAAGCATTCCATTAATTAAAGGATAGAGTCAGGTCTGCAATTATACAAGTTGAAGGAGAGGTTACCTCCATGATCATACAATTGGAAAAGACGAACGATCTTTAATACATGCTACGTGACAAACTACAGTATCGCATGGCTACTAAGCCAAGGGAAACTACGAAGCTAAGAAGAAAGCTTAAAAGAAATGAAATGCTTGTTGTTGATTGATTTTGTTGACGTCTTCCTTTGATCCTTGCACTTTTGTTTATAGGCGGAATGGAGCGGTTTTGGCTGACTCCCATAACTGTTGTACGATTATGCTTCTTGGCGCCAACACTTCTTCAAAAATTTAAATCATCCAATAGCCTCCTAAACCAGCCTCTATGTATTGGGCCTTTATGTAACATCGGCCCAGTTCCTTTTATGCTTGAACCAGTTTAGCCCAGAGACCTTTTATTGACTCTAAAACCTTTCATATCAGCCAAAATCAAGAAGGTCAAACAAAAGTGAAAAATTTGATTTTTTAGGATTAACACATCATCATAATTATCAAAGTTTTGATTACTTTAGATCACAAACATACTACACACTGTTGTGATTTTCTTCGTTGTATCTCCTTGTAATTTCGTGATACCCGGTGTGTATAATAGGGTCGAAATATTACTTTGGGAAACTGATTTTGTTCACGCTTCAAAGTGTTAAATTTGTCCATTTTCGTTCAATTTTTGTGACCCGGTAAACCAATTTCCCCAACATTAAATAGGCTCAATATGAGAAATAAGTAGTAAATTAAAAATCATTTAGACTTAGTCAAAAGGCTAAACTATTTTGAGAAATGTTGGATTATTCTTATTAAATGAGAAAATTCAAGTTTATCTCCTAGATAAACTTGAAGTGTTTATCTAGACCTAGTTTCGGAATTTTGTGTTGCAAAAGCAGGGGTAAATTTGGAAAGTAAACTTTAGCCCACCTACCGAATAAACAGACGCTTATTGACTCCTGGTAACCTGGGTTAACACATATCCATTCTCAAACCCCTCTAACTGGCTTCAACCTCCTTCAACATCTCAAAACGCGAAGTGAGGGACCTGGTAATCGTTTTTAGAAATCCCACATTCAACCTTTCAGGATGATAGGCGAAGTGCAGAGGGAAACGTTTTTAGAAGAATAAACTCTCTAAGATGGTATCTGAATTTTATTGTTAATGTTGCTGCGTCGTTAACACCGAGAAGTGCTAGGGTAATTGATGTTAAGAAATTGCGTAATAGGAAAATTGTGATGTATAGTGCTAAATTGAAATTGAAGAAATCTAAATTTGAATGATCCATTGCTGTTGGTTTGAATGATTATCATTCCATCATATTAAAGAATTAGTGAATTTACAACAAATTGTCTGAAGTTTTATTGATAAGAATGATAAAAAAAGATAAGAATGATATATGGTGCTTTGAATTACTTTAAGGGATGTGGAGATGGCCATGAATTGAAATTGAAGAAATCTTTAATTGCATTCTACCGTATTTCAGGTGATTAATGGATTATGTTGCCAATTTCTAATATTGGGTATCTGATCTGTATGTTAATATTTCACACCGCCACTGTAGAGGTTCTTGATTTCTCTCTCCTTTCTAGTGTTTTTACGGGAATCGAGAAATAGTGAAAGTATATATTCTAACCCTTGGTTAAATTAACCCAACGTCGTCAAATCCTATACAATAAACATTACTTTTATCAAAGCTCATGTGGCAGACTTTTGCAGTTTGCTTTTACAACCTTTATTATTTTTTAATTCAGATTTCATGACTTATTTGCAACAATGCCATGAGATACCTTTGATTTGTTAATATAGGAGATAAATGGGGGTGCTCTCTAAAATGAGAAAATTTGCCGACATTAAAAGCACAAAGATAGTAGCGGTATAAAGTGAAAATATAAGAAAAATACTAGTTGTATACAAATATTTACTCACTCTTCCTTATACGAGGGTAGAGAGGTCCAGAGTTCGATTCTCGGAATGCCCCATTTTTTGCCGTTTTCTCAATCTCTCTCTCTCAGTCATATTTCGGCGGGCTTCCATTAAAAGGGTTTTGTTGCTGCTTCGCTTTTCTTCTCTTCTATCATACTAACCACTTTCAATTCTCCTCTTTTTTTTCAAAGTAATTGGTATAATTCAATAACCAATAAGCATGGTATTCGGGCAACTGGTAATCGGACCGCCAGGATCCGGAAAAACTACCTATTGCAATGGCATGTCTCAATTTTTTCCTCAAATTGGACGGTATTCCCATTTTTCTCTTCCTTATTCTTTTGTTCTTATGTTAATCTCATTTATTGGGTTAACAAATTTATAATCATTCAAATATGTATTTTTTTTCCCGATTATCTTGTGTATTTTGAGTATCATTTCTTCTTTTTGCTTCTGTAAATTTGTTATGTAGCAATTTTTTTTTAAAAGAATATTGATATGATATTACTGAGAAATGTTGCATGAATGATGATGCCAAGTATGTCGAAATTTGCCTAATGTTACTTGAAGAATCAAACTTTATTTTGAGAACTATTTGTTTAATGAGGGGATTTAGCTAGGATTATGTATGTACTTGTAATTACTAATTTTGTTGTCTATATTGTAATGCTATAGTATCTTGTACTTATAATACTCAATCTACTAGTTAATTAAGTTACGCTCTTGGGCGGGATGGGGGTGAGGCTGGTTCAGGTTGTACTGGCATATGAATTTGAAAGGTTATGCCCGTTTAGCGTTTACGGATTCTTCTTAAGCTATTTGATACTTCTGTTGAGTTGGAATTGAAATTGGTGACATTGGATGAAGCATGAAATCAGCAATCATACTTCACAATATTATTTATATATGAATTGTATTATAATTTGAAGAGGTACATTATCTCATTATTTAATCAGTGAGATTTGAAATTTTCATCTTGGGGTTATAATGTGAACTGCAACTTGTACTTGCAATTGGTGCTTGACAATCTCTATTTCTGTTGCATCATGAAACCATCATTGCATTACTTTGTTGTTGGGACACATGTGGAAGCCTCATGATCAAATCTTCGAACATTATTCCTATCTACATAATTTAATGGCAATTTTCACTCATATAATAGATCAATTTGATATTACCCAATCAAATGTTACTACTAGTCTAGTGCCTAACAACTTTTGGTATGGCAATCGGCCTAGCCCTAATGTTTTACCATCATTTGCATTTTTTTCAAGTTTGCTCTCTCTTCTTTTCTTTGGAGTTATTAGCTTGGTTTATGTCTATTATTTACGAGCTTTGGACAACTGTTTGGCTATGGCCATTCTGGTTCTTAGATGCTTATAAAAATGAAATTTTGCTGTTTACAAATGCAGGAAGGTTGCTATAATCAATTTGGACCCTGCAAATGATGCATTGCCGTATCCTCTTTGATATATGACCGTTCAATATTTATATTTTCTTTTATTATGGAAGTAATCTTTGTTGTATTCTTTTGGTTGTCATTGATTTTCTTAACATGAGGTTAAGTTATGACTGTGCTGTTAATATTGAGGAATTGGTCAAACTTAGTGATGTGATGAATGAGCATTCACTGGGGCCCAATGGAGGTCAGCTTCCTTCTTATTTGATCTATTTTCTGGTATATTTTATGAAGTCTATGTTGAATATTTTGTATCGAATGAGCTAGGAATGTTCTAGCTACATGGATATCATTTTTAATTTCTACGGAGTAGGTTAATGATGGACTTAAAGCAGGGTGATCCATCACTGCTTTTATTTTTCATGTTGCTTGTTGATTTATTAAGCATTAGTCGCCTTGCACCTTGGATTATTTTAATTAATAAAGGGGTGAGCGGAGAAAGAAAAACAATCTAAATTGAAGAAGGGAATTTTGGCTCTGTAGGCATTTAACAATGCAGAGTTGGGGCTGAAGCAAAGATGGGCCTTGTGGATCTGCTGGGTATTAGCACTTGGCAGCATATCACCATGCATTGACAACTTTCGGTGGTACATGTAGCATGCTGGTGGTACATGTACAAGGCCACATAAGAGTAGTCTTTTGTGGCTATGTACAAGGCTAGTAAAAGTATTCTGCAAGAAACACATTTGACAACTTTCGGCTACTTTGTTGACAGTTTGTCATATATACACTGGATAACTAATTAGTAACTAACATAAATTTCTTAATTAAATAGTTTGTATTTATTAGTGTTGGACTGTTGGAGTAGGATTAAAAAATAGTGTTTTTTTTATTTATTTTTTTATTTTTATTGCAATATTATCCTAGTTCTCTAGTAGAACTAGGAATATCCATACAGGGAAATTCCTTGTTAGATTAGATGTTACTTTCTGGTCATCGTTTTATGTACACCAGAAATAAAATTGAAACTGTATGTGGTCTTCAGAATAAGGGTTGTAATGCCAACTTGGCTACCACATAAGGGGGTGTGGATTCAGCCTAGGAAGTGGGAAAACAGTCTTAAGACAGTTGTGTCTTGTGAGAGAATAAGTTGTTGGCTTAAAAACTGGGAAGTGGTCCTAAGATGGAGATTTTTTTGCGAAAATTAGATGTATTTCAAAGAGAGAATTGTAGCTCGAAGTAGTAATAATATGGAGTTGGTTCCAATAATTGGTTGAGTGAGTGGATTTTCCACGTGAATGATGTTGCATTTTCCGTATTTAATTATTTGTCTAACAATTTGCACCATACTTGCTGATTTGTACATCCTTTTCCACTTTGTATTACTCCTTCCGTCCCTAAACCCAAAATTCTCTTTTTTGAAGATCACAAAGAACATTTGTGCATATGGTTTGGCACACATATTGATGAGGGGATAGATAGAGAGAGCAAGTGGGAAATTTAACCAAATTAAGTATGGGGAAATCTGTTAGAAACATCATTTTTTGGTATGTGGGGCAATCTTTTAGGGATGGAGGGATTAGGTTTTGCCCTAAATCCCCAACAATATGGACCCTAATTCACGAATCACATCTTGTGTTGATATGGGTGTTTCCTCATCGTTTGGTTTAAGAGAGAGAGTTTCTACAGAGGTGATTCTTGTTGTCCTTCACCTTGGTGGCCATTGTGAGACATTTTTTCTTCGTCAACCATTTTTTAATGTCTTTCGTGGTCTCTTTACCCTCTATATCTTCTGTTTAGATTCAACGCCCTCTCTCTTGTTACCGTTGGAGAATATTTGTTTAAGGAATCAATTTTATCTTTTTTTGTTTTTTTGGAAATTGTTCCATGTACCATCGAGGTTTTAAAAAATGCACCGTGTACCCCTGAAAACTTTTAAATGCACCGTGTACCTCTAAGGTTTGTAAAAAAAATGCACCAAATACCCTTATCATCTAGCAAATGCACATATCATTGACTTATCAAACTAAAATCATGCCCACACACTGACTCCCTTTTAGTACTTTATATTTATGGAGTAAAACCGCCTAAAAGCATAAATTACATCAAAATTTGAACTCCATCAAACATTCTAAATCCTAAACTTTTGGGTGTTAGAATTTGATTTACTAATTAAGTTTACTTAATAATTAAATGGTTTAGCATTATAGTAGCATTACACTGTAATAATTTAATAAAATTTGATGCTTAGGGGGTCTCAATCTAACTAAGGGTATTTGGTTACCCTCAAAGGTACACGGTGCATTATAGGGGTGAGCGGAACCGGGTACCCGGTTGAGTTCATAGGATCGGGTCCCGGAACCGGTTGTACCAGGTATCCAGATCTTGGACCTGGTCCCGGAACCGGTTGAAGCGGGTCAAGGAATTTCGGAACTGGTCCCGGAACCGGTTCCAAGACCGGGTACCCGGATCTTCAATCTTCATCCTTAGATTAAAGATATTATTAAGAATAAGAAAAAGAAAGTGGGGATGTTTAATAAATTAAACACTACCACCAGTCCACTACCAACACCCACCAATCCACCACCACCCTCATTGGCCTTGCTTGCAAAATATTAGAGGGATTAATCTATCAAAAACATTAGTGTATAACAATCAAATTGCAGCATTACCTTCCTTAAAAATGTTAGTCATTATTCTATCTAATGCTTCCTGCACAATTCTCTCAGATTCAGCATCCAAAGCACTTCTAAATTCAAGGAAAACAAAAACTAATGAAATTATTTAGATTATGATAGAAAAAATCCCAAATAAGTAAACATCCTAGTTCGAAACTACAGGATTAGAACAACTTACCTTGATTCGAAAATTCCCAGCAATTACAACAAATCAATTGTTTCATGATGATTTCAATTCGAAAACATAAACCCTAGAATCTGACTACTGTTGTTAATCAAAATTAAAAAATTAATCGACTATATAAAGAGTTAGAGAAGAGACATAAAATAGGAAAATCGAGAGGAAAGCGTGATTCATCTTCGTTAAAAGCTTAGAAGCCTCTTTTATGGAGAAATCAGATTGATGGCGTGGAGGAGATGGTGAAGTAGTTTGACGGTGAGGATAGGAGAGAGAAATTGGCGACGGAAGAGGTTAACGGCAATGTGATAGATTTGGAGGAAGAGAAAAGGGAGGAGAGAGAAAGAGAGTGGCAGAAGAGGTTAGAGTGGAGGAAAAGGGTTAGAGGGAAATAACTTAAGAAATTAAGAACTTTTTTAAAAAAAAAGAAAAGAAAAAAATTAAACACATTAAACAACCGGGTACTCACCGGGTATCGGGTCCAAATTTCCAGGACCCGGTTTTGGAACCGGTTCCAACCGGGTCCGAATTTTCGGACCCGGTCCCGGAACCGGTGAGACCAGTTCCGGGTCTGAACCGGTTCTGGGTCCGGTACTGGGTACCCTAGGTCTTTGCTCACCCCTAGTGCATTATAAAGTTTTCAGGGGTATACAGTGCAATTTTTAAAACCTCAGGGGTACACTGACTAATTTCCCTTCTTTTTTTTTTTTTTTTTTTTTGCTGATATGCGGTTTCACTAGCTGAAGTGCTTCATCTTGCTCTCTGTTGGTGGGTCTTGGTTGCCATATCTTTATTCTTTTGCATAGCTGTTATTTATTTCTCTATTCTTTTTTTCCTTTTGTTTTTTTTTGTTTTTTTGTTTTTTTTTTTTCTGTATTCTTTTACATAACTTTCATATAATCTGTATCAAATATGCCTGACTTTTTCTCTTACTGAGATCTTGTCACATTAAAGTATATTGTAAGAATTATTAATTTTAAAGTTGTGCAGCTCATGTGCTTGTTGCTCACAGCTCCAATTTGCACTATGCCTCTTGGGCCTCATGGCTATGTGGTCTTCTTATGCCTTGAGCGTTTTTAAAGCTAAGTTCTAAAGTTAAGGGCATAATTCTCAGAGTTCCTCCAGGGTTTATGTTTGTGGTTGAAAATTTTCGTTTAACTATACTTAAACTATTTCTACTTTCCAAGACCCAAGCTTTCTTAAAGAAGGAAGATCAAGGATATTGACAATTTGAGGCATTGTGTCTAGAGCTATGAAGGTTTACAATAGGGTCTTTTCTTGTTAGGAAGAGAAGGAGAAAGCTTTCTTGAGATCAAGGATATTGACATTTTGAGGCCTTGTGTCTAGAGCTATGAAGGTTTACAACAGGGTCTTTTCTTGTAAGGGAGAGAAGGTTAACCATCGCAAGATGTTATAAGTTGAACTCAAAGACTTTTCTTGTGGATATTCAATATATTACTGACTGTATAAAAAAGCGCCTTGGCTCTGAGGCACTAGGTGAAAGGGCTACATTACTTCTGAGGCACTAGGTGAAAGGGGTACATTACTTTTTTGAGCTAGGCAAAGTGCATTAGAAGAGGCTTTTTTGAGATAGGCGAAGTGCATTCAAAGAGGTGCACTTGAGGCACACCCGAGGTGCACACCTGTGGTGCCATGAAGGCACACAAAACACCCCTGAGGTGCACCTGAGGCACACTTCAATGAGGCGTATTGGTCAGGCTCAATAGGAACCCTATCGCCTTAGTGCGCATTTTTGCTTTTTATGCATGGATGCTGCCATTTGACATATGCTCCCTCCCTTTATTCCTTTTTTTTAATTGTTGAATCTTAGTGCTTGTTTGTTTGCCAAATGACAACATTTTAATGTAGGAAGTGGAGTTTCATTGGAATTGTTAGCCTGGATAGTTTGTTGAGAAAAGCTAAAATGGAGAAGAGGAAATTTAAGGAAAATAGATTTTCCCACAAAACATGGTATGAACCAAACTTGTTAAGATTTTTTCTAAAAATTGCTTGAGAGAAATGACTTCCCATGACATATACTTCAGATTTTAATCCCTTTCTTGAATGTGCTTAGTATCTAATATGTAAAGTCGTTGACCTGTATAAATATTTTGAAGTTCTTTTTTTTTTTTTTTTTTTTAAAGTTGTCTTCATCAGCAGTTCCATTCATTTTGTAGGTCTAGTGTATTGTATGGATTACTTGGAGAAGAATGTTGATTGGCTGGAGTCCAAATTGAAGCCACTTCTTAAAGGTTTTATACTTTACCTTTCTATTTGCGTTGTCAAGGTTTTTCTTTTTTCCACATCTATCTGTATATTGACATTAGCAATTGCTTTAGTGCTTATAATGTTTATTATTACCTTGCAGATCACTATCTGCTCTTTGATTTTCCTGGCCAAGTTGAGCTATTTTTCCTGCATTCAAGTGCAAAGAGTGTTATATTGAAATTAGTGAAGAAATTGAATCTTAGGGTACACTACTAGCTTCCTTAAAGTTTACTCTCTCTTCTTTTCTTTTTGGTTGATTATAAGAAGCTTACTTTTCGTAAATCTTATGCAGCTGACTGCTGTGCATTTGGTTGATGCCCATCTCTGCAGTGATGCAGGGAAGTATATCAGTGCATTACTGCTATCATTATCAACCATGCTTCATATGGAACTTCCTCATGTAAATGTTTTCTCTAAAATTGATCTTATTGAAAGCTACGGGAAATTAGGTATTTCTTGGGACTCTACTCTTATAATTGGCTAACTTACTGTTAGAATTTGCTTGTTTCTTACTTGCCTTTTGCCTTATTGCAGCTTTTAACCTGGATTTCTACACTGATGCACAAGATTTATCATATTTGCAGTATTGCCTTGATCAAGATCCTCGTGCTGCCAAATACAGGTGCACTTAAGCTATCCTTTGTGAATTTTCATTGTCAAAGTGACCAAACACTTTAGAAATGTGATCAAGGTGCTTTTTTTAACTTATCTTTTACTTTATACTTCCTCCGTGTCTCAATTGATGCATCTTATTACTTTTTGGGATGTTTCATAATAGATGCATCAATTCTCTTTTTTAGTAAATTATATTTGCAAAATTACTAATTTACCCTCAACTTTAGGTGGAGACCATACTCTACCTTTAATACTTAGAGCCCTTAAAGGTTAGCACATGGACAATTTTGTCAATTACTCCACTCTCTCCCATTTATTGGTTTGTGTGCCATATACAAAGGATGCATCAATTGAGAAACAGAGGAATTTTTTTTTTTTTTTTTTTTTTTTGCTTAGAAAGTGGTGTTGATTTTTTTTGGACTTTTTTAAAACAAAAATTTTTAAAAAATTGTATTTAATTTGTTTATAAATATTTGTCAATGCAAGAAAATCATAGTGAGACCAATGTGCAATCTCCAAATTATTAGGGAGGTCTAAAATTTTTATTTCTTTTTGCTACACACCCATATGGCTAGAATTTGCTTTATGCTTTTACTCAATTTACTTTAATTGTTGATCAATTTCACTCCAATCTGACATGCTTTTTAAAATTTTAAGTAACCTATGTAAATTTGTAAGAGAAGTCTCATGTTAGTGACCAAGTGACCATTAACCCCATGTTTGTGACCACATCGTTAAACCTGACAATATATAGCCATCCCCTATTACCTGAAATACCCGACCCGAGTCCTGGCTCATACTTGATCTGACTTGATAATCAATGTTTCTAATAATGATTAGATAATTAAAATAAGCATATTGATACACCTAGAATTGACCAGAATGAGTCGTACAAAAAAATGACCCGACCTGAATTAATCCAACCCAAACCCGATCCAAATGACTCAATTGCCACCTCTAGTGACCATTGTAGAGCTTGTGCACCCACAAACATTTGCGTTTCTTCAATGATTTTCATCAACACTCAATACCAGTTATACCACATATAAACTAATAATGGCAATCAATGAAGAAACACATGTTTTAAGATGAAGTTCAATTACCATGGACATTAGCATGAGGCTTGCCCTTTGAAATTACATATAAATAAATTCTCTATACAGTCATTTTTACCATGATTTTACTCCTTTTGTCCTTAATATTTTGCCCCATTTGACTTTTAACGGTCTCCAAGACGCATCCTAAAACATTTTATCTTATAAAAATTATGAAAATGAGATACTCCCTCTGTATTTTATTACTTGCTCCACTTTTCTTTTGCGGCCGTATGTTATTACTTACTCCATTTCCATTTTTGGAATCTTTTAACAATATTTTACTATTTTTCTCCCTACTAGTGGTCTCCTTATATCATATTTTTACTTATACTTTTTTTTTTTTAGATTTTTTATTAATCTTCAACCAATTCGACTTTCATCATGAAATTATACTTTCTATTATTCTTGTTAAAACTCCGTGTCTGGAGAAATGGAGCAAGTAATAAAATACGGAGGGAGTCTTAATTAAATGTACAATGAGATGAATCCAACAAGATCCCACATGACTATATTATTTCTTATAGATTAATGGTATTTTGTGTTAAAATATTTGAATGTTTGACCCAAATTTTTGCAATGGGGTAAAAATATAGGGACGGAGGGAGTACTAACCAACAGGCAACGGTACTACCTATCAACAAGCCACAATAATACCTACTAACAGGCCATTTCTGTATACTTATTCTTGAGCCTGATGCATCCTTGTTCCGTTGATGTTTTTTGGTGCTCAGGTTTCTTTGACTTTAACTATATATTCTAACTCAAATTTAGTTTTTGATTGATACCTCTCACATTGTAATAGAGAGCAATGTTATTGGATACCCACCTGAATAGTATTGGGCTCTTTTGTGACGACACTAATAGTTGGGTGCTTAAAGGTAGTCCATGATACAACCCTTGATCATAGTGAAATGCTTCATATCCCCGTCCATCCCTCTTGTTGTAATCTTAGCTTCTTCTTACATATTGCTAATGTTTCTAACATGGGCAAGTATGTCCTCCTAGATTCTAAGTTTCCCCTTAAAACTAATATCTCCGTCCATCCTCCTTGTAATCATGTTCATATGTGGACCTCTTTTGCTTCCTTGCAGCTTGTAATAGAGAGATCCCATATGTTAAACAAGGCAAGGTCTCCAGTCTCCACCCCCCCCCCCCTCTTCCAAAAAAAAAAAAAAAAAATAGGGAAGTATTTGTCACCAAAGCTCAAGTATTACAAAAGTAAGTTGTTTATCTGAGACATCGAATCAGATCCAAAACACTCCCTTTTTAATATATATAGCTCCTAAATGATTGAAAATAGACCCTTTTATATATATCAGAAGTTCTTCAATGTACCATTATATCCAGGCGGATTTTTGCTATCTAGTATCTCAAGCTCTTCCTGTAGCTATATTTGTGAAAGGGTCATACTGGCCACATGACATAGTGATTACAAGTAACACTTAACAGTCATGAAGTGGCTCAGACTCCCTTCTCAAGCATTATTGAAGACATACTACTATTTGATTGAACTTTTTCAGGCATATCATATGGATCCAGACTGCAATGATGTCCATCACCCGAGAAGCTGAGAAAGACATAATATTTATGATGTCTAAAACAAATATTGTTTGACTAGGAATACCAACAATTCTTATTTCCAACAATGATTCTACCTATAACCCTGCATGTTAAGAAATGTTGGTATCTTTATCTTACATATTCCCATCTGCTTACTTAAGGTTATAGAATACCATTTTCCTTTGTCTTTGCGCCTCAGACCTGGCCAGATTGACCTATAACAAGTCAAGGTCTTCCCTCGTCTTATGTTTTACTTTGGTTGTGGGAGTTGGGTAGCTTTTAGTATCATAATATAAAGATTGGAAAGGAAACAAGATGTTAATTTAAACTTAGCAAATTAGTAAACCTCATTTCCTAGTTTTCTCAATCTGTAAGCAGGGATTCTTTGCTGGAAGAGGAACTTGTATTGTTTCATACCATCTGAGTTCCTTTAGAATCAATCCTCCTGCAATCAACCATAAATAAGTTATGTTAATCTACTTTCACACTCAAAGATCTTTAGAAAACAGTGCAATTTCTTGTGTTTACTTTTTCTCCCCTTTAGTGAGGTACAAGATAGGGGATGGATGTCGCATATGTCTCTGGAAGATATTTTTGAAAGGAGAACTTTTATTTGTTCTCAAAATATTCTATTTGTCTTCACTTCGTAAATGCACCTGTGTTTGGGGTTTATGCGATAATTCCTAGGATTTACATGTTTGGAGATCATTACTATGTTAGAGGGGTTCTCTTCTTCGGCCAAGTTTTGGAGTCTTCAACTGCAGTTGAGGGATTCTAGGGTGTGGACAGGGATTATTTGAGTCTTTTACTTGTAAATCTTTTCTTTGTTGCTCGAGTCGACCTACTTAATTTCAGAATCTTTCAAGTAGGAAACTTTACTTGCAAGATGGCTTTTGTGTTGACGATGACATTGAGTAGGATTTACTCTAATGACATGTGCCAAAGGGGTAGGCTGGGGTTATTTCACACCTGTATGCTTTGCCTAGCTAATAGTGCTTGTTCACATCTTCTTCTTTGTGAAGCGACAAATTACGTTTGGAGGAAGTTTTTTGGTTTGCATGAAGAATCTTGGGTTTTGCCTTAAAAAGTCTAGATTGGCCGTCATTTTATGGGGTTTGGTAAAGGAAAGGAAAAGTTGCTGATGTGAATCAAGAGGCTAATTATTTTGAAGGGTCCAAGACATTTTTAGAAGGTCCAAATAGCTTCATTATGGGCTGCCCAAACAAAGAAATAAACAAGGAAAGGTCCACTAGCTCAATAGGGAAAGAAGGAAGCATGAATTGCAAAGAAGAAGAAATGGAGCAGTTCACTTCCGGCGAGGATTACGGTTGCCACGTGCCAAGATGGGGCCCACGCGCCTGTCCTCCGGCACCAGACTGAGTCCAGCTACACAGTGGTGTGGCGCGTGTCACTATTGGTGGCGTGTGAGGTGGTGTGGTGGCGGCGACACGAAAAGGATGATTTTCCATCCTTAGTTTTTTTTCTAGAGTTTTGCTTGCAAGTTTTTACCTTACACTTGAAAGGTTTTTCTTGGTTTAAGCACTTAGGATTCCTTTTAATTTCTGTTATTTTAGCTTAATAAGTTTCCTTAGTTGATTAGGATTTGTTTTAGGAATTATAGACTAAGTTAAACTAGTCTTACTACTAGTTTCCTAATCTAAGTAGAACTAGTTTTCCTATTCTATTTAGGTTACTTGGAGCTAAAGGTTAGGGGCTTGTCCTAGTTCTACTAGACTTAGAATTAGTTAGTTTTTAGTCTATAATTAGGGAATTTTCGTGGCCTTGTAGGACATATAACAAATACACAAAAATTCAGTTGAATAAAAATTCATTGCTTAGCTTTTTGCTTAAACGTTTTGCTAGTTTTCAATTCAAGGAGTTGGTTGAAGATTAGAACATTAAACACTTAGTGTCTAGGAGTAGGCTAAGAGTTTAATCTCAAAATAATTAGCGTCCAGGAGTGGGTTAATTAATTTGGGAATTCGAATCATAAGTTTCAGGATTGATCTTGTGAGAAGAAATATCGGTTCGTTTTATTCAATCTTAAAGAAATCCTTCAAGATTGGATCTTTATTTCAAGATTGTGGGTTTTCTAAAATCTTGACTAAACAAGGGGTTAGAATCCACATCAGTTGCTGTGGCAGAATGCTTTTTTGGCAATTAATGCTGTGTAGTTGAAACAAAAAATCCTTGTGTTTTGTTCATGAGCTGCTGTGGGACAAAGCCAATTATTTAGTGTCATTATGGAGGAAGGTGGCGGGTGGGGGTGGGGGGATTTAAGAGTTACTTATTTGAAATGCATCAAAGATATTGGGTAAATCTGTAATTTTTTTGTTTTTCCTATTGGACTGTTTGTCCTGGTGGTTTGTTATCCTTTTTCAGCTGTTATTATATTCTTCTCTTATCTCATGAAAAATATAAGATCCTTGTTTAATAATGAAGGTACAAAGAATAGCTAGAACTTTGTCCTTGTCTGGTAAAGCAGACCTTTTTTTCCCCTCAAATTCCTAACTACCTATTTGCAAACATACTGCAGGAAGCTCACAAAGGAACTATGTGAGGTTGTTGAAGAATTTAGCCTTGTGAATTTCACAACTTTGGACATACAGGCATGCTGTCATTTCCATATGCTTCTTGGATTCATTGCTGTATTTTGCTTCAGTATATGATATGTTTTCACTGCTTCTGACTTCTTCAGGACAAGGAAAGTGTTGGAAACCTTGTGAAATTGATCGACAAGACCAATGGGTACATCTTTGCTGGTATAGATGGAAGTGCAGTGGAGTTCAGCAAACTTGCAGTTCGCCAAGTTGATTGGGATTATTACAGATATCCTTTTTTACCCCTTCCTGGTATCTTTGTTATAAATTACTAATTATTTGTGGAAATTACAGTTTGTCAAATATCCCTTGTTATCATTTCTTTGGTTCCCGTTTCACATCTATATATATACATATGGAAGGGATCCGCTGAAAACAAGGTATATGGTGAAAACTTAAAACAGAAGATCTACACCGTCTAATCCCTCATTATTGTTTCCCTTTTACATTTCATTTGGTCCCCTTTCATGCCAACTACTTTCTTGTAATAAACTATCCTGAGAGGCAATAGGGGTAGTCTAGTACTATTTGGTTAATAGGCTTTAGCCCTAGTATAGATAGAGAGAGGGGGGAAAGAAAAAGGTAGGCAGAATTTGGGAGTGAATCCTTGAGAGTTGTGACCTCAAGTCACTGTTTGGAGAGTTGTGACCTCAAATCACTATAGAGCTTGATAGGCTAAACCTATCGATTCTGTAAACCGTTGATTTAGTAATTAAAGCCTCAATCTTTCTTCTCTATATTACTGCTCAATTTGGTTGTGCTTGGCCTGAATCTATCACATTTCTCTTTCATTTGCTCCTCTGCTATTTATCACCTTTTACTTAATAACTTCTGTTTATCGAATTTGCTCCCTTTAGTGTTCATCAATGGTGTCAGCTCTCTGGCTCTCTCTCCTCTCCCCTCTATTTTCTATCTTCTCTCCCAAATCACAAAACTCTTACCCAAATTAGCCTTTTACATTCCTTAATTTATTACTCACGTCTCATTCTCTCTTCAATCCATCCTCAAATCCCCCCATATTTGGTCACCTACATTTCTGATGCTTTTGTTATTGATTCCGTGATGAATTTCTTATTAAAAAAGTTTGTATTCTCTTCAATTGATAAGCATCAGTTCAGAATTCTTGAATTAATGTCATCCAGCTAGTATATATGTAATTGCTTGAGCTCTTGTTTTCTAAATTGGAAGTTACATTGTATTATTCAACTTAGATTACCCAGATTCATTGAGGAAAATTGTGTTCTTGATTGAGAGGCTGATGAAACAACATACAATGCTAAAAACTAAGAATTTTAAACAATTCTTGCAACCCAATCTTGTGATTATATTTGATAACTAGGAATTTGACAAGGTAGAGTGGCATGATCTAGGTAGTAATCAGGCAAGAACACAGACACCAACAGATTGACAATAATTACTTATAATATCCCTTTAATCATATACAATACCAGTATAAGTATCAACGGTATCCCTTTAAGACTTTCTATACTTCTATTGTTGTATACAGCACCCCTCTCTAAACTATCAATGTCTTAATTGTATACAATACCCCTGTATAGACTACATTTTCAATTTTCAGCATAACACTTGTTTTCACATGATCCTATTCCTATATATAAATATAGTACTACCTCCGTTTCAATTTATTTGCAACATTTATCGTAAATGAATACTACAAATTATTTACAACAAATGTTTTCTTTCCTTTTTTGTCATTTCTATCTCTCTCCTCATCACATGCAACTTTATTTTTCTCTCTCTTATTACCACTCAAACAGAAAGTAGTATGTTTGTCAAACTTTTTTGATACTCCTAGGAATTAGATATGTAGTGCTGAGAAAGTCTGTGGTGACTAAATGAGGCAGTTGTTTTCGAAGGGCTCTTTTATAATGTGTCATCATAAACATTATTGTGTTTGTCTTCGTCATTGCTGTTGGCATCATCATCTACATTTGCATTTTTATAAGAAGGGATTATGTTTTTATCCCCTTTTGTTGATGCATCACAAATATGTGGCGGTGATGCCTCCAAGGTTTCTGCGAATCATCAAATACTTTCATGCTGTTTAGTTTTACTTAACAAAGTATTCCACAGTAGCAGCAGTACAAGAGAAATACATGAAGGATGATGAACCTGATAATGACTCCAATGCGTAGGGAGCTTTGCTGTTTCAGCAAATCAGCTACTGAAATTACTGAGTGTACTGTGAGTGGCAAATTGGTTCTTTATTGCTAGAACCAGACGGTAGAGAAATATATTGCAAGGCTATGAACATGATGTACCATTTGTATATGTTTGTGATGCACAGTAAATTTTCTATGTGTTAGAGTAGAGGCATTTTGCCTTTAGTTGGCACATTTGGTTCAGCAAAGAATTCTTGTACACTTAGGTTAGAAGTGTTTGACGATAATTTAAGGTAATACAGAGTACAACATGAAATTACAAGGTGTTCCTGTTTGTGATCTCAGACAATCAGTATTGGTATGTAGGAGTTCAACCGAAACTAGTGTTTGACGATAATTTAAGGTAATACAGAGTACAACATGAAAGTACAAGGTGTTCCTGTTTGCGATATCACACAATCAATATTGGTATGCAGGAGTTTCAACTGAAACCCAAAATTTCAGCAGCACATCAAATTTGATTGTTAATCTATCTGAGATGCTTATGCATAGGCTGCATCTAATGCTAGAATGGTGGGCAATACAGAAATTGACTATGACATTTGACATCAGCATATGAAAATGACCACTTGAATGTACAAAGTACTCCGTATAAAATTATTACTCTTTGTTTCATATTATAGTGCTCATTTTTATTTTTTGATTCAAATGTTAAAAGGTTTGATAAACATTTCTTATTAAATATGTTGTATATGCTAAAAACAATTAGTGACATATTGTTAGATTTGACTCATGGTGTAGTTTCATAATATTAACATTTTATAAATTTTTATTATTGCAAAATTAAATATATTAATAACCAAAGTATGACTGGAAGAAAGTGCAAATGAAAATTAGCACTATCTTATGGGGCGGAAGGATGTACTCGTTGGATTAAAATGTACGGGGACCTTGACAGGTTGATGTAGATTAATGGATTATCTTTGTGATAAAAACACCAATGTTGGTTTACTCGACTGTGAGTCAACTCTTAATCTCTGTAGTTCTAGATGATGGACACTTTTTCTACATAATAAATTTCACAAGGAAAAAGACCGTTGACTAAATTCAAGATATTTTTTCTTAATTATATACGGAATATAAAGTTGTGCGATTATATAGATCATGAAACATCAACACAATTGTAATTTTTTGTCAAGTGTCACATCACGTTTGGTAAATTGCTTATTAGCATAAAATTTGCTTATTTAACTAACATTGGCTTATTGACTATTAAATAAGCTAATTTAAGATGTTTGGTAAAAAGCTTATTCCACTAATTATGCACTTTTTCAAAAAGCTTATTTTAGGAGTTTTTTCAATTAGCTTATTCAATATCTTATGGTAATATGATACTTATACCCCATTTAATTTAAAATCCGCAAACGTAAACTACCTACCCCAACAATTAGCTTATTGATCATTTGACATATTCAAACAACTTTAAGCAATCAACTATTTTATACAATTAGCTAATAAAATAAGTAGCGAAATCAAATAATACAATCAACTAATCAAAATCAGATAACACAATCAACTTTTCACTAAACCCGGCCAAAAGTTATTTTAGAGTTTCATTTTCGATAAATTTCTAATATTTCACATGTATAAGATAAATTTAGCACGTCTTGTGTGTGGCTATTTCAAAAGATATTTTTATAAATTTGTTATTAAATCATAAAATAAATTTTAAGGAGTTGTTCAAAATAAAGTCTATTTATGATATATAGTTATTCTAGAGTTTTAATTTTGATGAACTTTCATTCTTTCATAAGTATAAAATCAATTATAAATTTGACTAAATATGTTGTAATTCTATTTACATCATCAATTTGATGAAGGATGAGTCTAAGATTAGGATAATTATCTACTTATTTGTCTGATAGAAACTATAGGGAGTGGAGGAGATCTATGGAGATCAACCTAGCTTCTAAGAGAAAGCTGGGATTTGTCAAGAAGGATGACATTGATGATGTAAAAGCAAATCAATGGGATACATGCAACAGATGGTGATAGCATGGTTGACATGTAATATAATATAACTGATACTATCAGGAGATCAGTGATGTTTCTCAAAACTGCTACAGAGGTATGGAAGCAACTTGAAGTAAGATTCTTGCAAACCAACGGTGCAAGAAAATACAAGCTGGACAAGGATATCTATGACATCAAACAAAATGGTGAATCCATTAGTGAGTATTACACCAAAATCAAGTCTTTGTGGGCTGAAATAGAAGGACTGAACGTGTACCACCTATCACAAGCATGACCCTGCAGAAATCCATGCATTTGTGAATGCATTGAACCAGCAGAGGAAAGAGCAGCACCTTTTGCAATTTCTCAATGGCTTGGACACTAGATATGCTGCTTAGAGAAGCTAAATACTGATGCAAAGTCCTCTACCAAGTGTTGAGACAGCTTGTGCAGCTCTTCAGCAAGAAGAATCTCATAGAACAACTCTGAGTGAAGGCAACCATGGCAACCTTAAGGGGGAGCCTATTGCTCTGTATGGAAGGGAGCAGGAAAATCAAGCTCTAGGTTGCACTGTATGTGGAAGAAAGAGACACACTGCTACCAATTGCTGGAGGGTGATAGGTTATCCCAGTTGGCATCCTCAGTACAAGAAGCAAGGAAGAGGTGAAACTGGTGAAAACCTAAGTGGAACAAGCAAAAGGGAAGTGCTGGGCAGAAAGTTGTCGTTAATGCTCGTGCTTAAGAGTCGGTAGCAATTACTGCTGAACAACTGGAAAAATTGCTGAAGCTGGTTCCATTGACATCGAAAGCAAACAAATCTGGTGATAAGTGTCATTTATGACATATTTTAGGGTGGTTTTCTCCCTTAGTTTTAGGTTTATTTGGGTCTATCTTGGTTATTTCTAATCCTTTTAGTCTTGTTTTAGTTAATAAAGTCTTAGTTTATGTTTTAAGGCCTTAGTAGTGAATAATGTGCTTGTTGCTCGGTTTCTAGCTTGATTTGCGTGCTTTTCTATGTGATCTTTCACTCTTTTCTCTGTTGGTCTATTTGTCTAGGTACTTGGCACGTTTCTCAATGTTGATGGCTCAAGAGAAGGCCGAAAAATTCAATAGAAGAAGCCTTGAAGCCAAAAAGAAGTTAAGAAGCAGAGCATTTGCAGCGCTTAAGGCTAGAACCGGTGCCCAAGCAACCCTCCGCACAGCACTGAAACCAAGCAAGAGCAAGCAGCATGAATCGTGGCACGGTGGTCCTTGCCGTGGTGCGACAGACCTACCGTGACGCTGCATGATCCACCGTGGCGCGGCATAATTTGTTTACCAGTTTTTTTCTTCATTCCTGTAGATGGCTGGCCGCGCCCTAAGAGAGGGCTCTCTCCAGTTCACCGCGGGTGCGGCAAGACCACCGCGGGCGTGGTCTTCTGGGTTTTTTTCGCTCCCAATTTCCGATTTTTCTCCTTTTTCTTTTTGTACTTTATATAGGGGTCGACCCTATTTTGTGAGGGGACTTTTGGGCAGATTTTTACACATTTTCTCTCTCTCACCTTTATTGCTTTCTTTAATTCTTGTTTTTGCTTAATTCTTTGTTGATTAGAGTAGGTAATTAGATTACTTGTTTGATTCTTGCTTTAATTCTTGTTTTACCTTGTTTTTCATGTTTTTCTTCATTATGATTGCTTAGATTTCGTTCTAGGGAAATGGATGAATGTTATGTTGATGAATTGAATGATTGATTGTGATTGTATGCAATTGATTCTTGGTTATTGTGTGTGGATGATGTTTGCATTGCTTAGAGTCTTTTAGCTAATTGATTCTAGGTTTCTAATTTTTCTTTCAATCAATTGTGCGGAAGTGAGTTGATTGGGAGTTTAGATTCTTCCATACCTATGCTAGGCTAGTTGCACAGGACTGAATTAGCTTAGTACGATAATTAGCATGCTTAATTGCGCGGGAGTGAGTTGAGTATGTTGATTGTTCCTAATCGAGATCATGATCATCTAATTGCAATTTGTTGTTGCATTCATTAATGTAATTGGATTCCCCTTTCCCTGGTATTTTATTGATTACTTAATGTAGTGTTTTAGTTGTTCCTCTCTCTACCTCACTTCCTTCCTACTAGTTTAATTAGCCCAAATTAACACACTTAGTCCTTGTGGTTCGATTCCGAACTTGCCTCTATGCTTGCTTAGTGGTTAGTTAGGAATTTATAAATGTTGTTTGATATTAGGAGGTTAGTCAACGACCTAACCCTCACCTACTTATCATCTGGATATGACACAAAGGAAGAGATATATTCTAACTTTAAAGGTATGATAACTTGTTACAATGCTTTCAATAATGAAAATAGATGGATAATTGATTCAGGAGCCACCCATCACATGATAGTTGATAAAAAATGGCTAGATGCATGTAAACCTGCTAGTAGTAAGGCGAAAATTAACCTGCCAACAGGATGGACTGCAAGTATAACCTGTACTGGAAATATATGCTTGAGCAATGGATTGAAATTGAACAATGTGTTGTGTGTCCCGAAGTTAAAACATAACTTGTTGTCTGTTGGGAAGCTAGTGAAAGATAATGCCTGTAAAGTGAAATTTTATCCTGAAATGTGTGTTATTCAGGACCTTGCAATCCAGAAAGCTAGAGCGGTTGGAAAAGCTGCTAATGGACTGTTCTATCTCGAAGAAAGGAGAAGAAAAGAGGAAGAAAAGGAGGAGTTGAAGAATAAGCAAAGACTAGTTTGTAATAGATCTAGTCTAGATATATGTGCAGCCTATGGCACATTAGGCTAGGTCATGCTCCTATGGAGAAAATTATCAAAACTGGTTGTGTAAATAAAGTTGATATGACTGATAACTCTGTGTATCTGACTTGTCCTATGGAAAGATTCATTAAATTACCCTTTTCTTCAAGTAAATTCATGCTCAAAAGTTGTTTGAATTGATTCATATTGGTATTTGGGGTCCATATAGAGTGTGTGCCAGGGGAAATTACAAGTACTTTCTCCCTCTAGTGGATCGATGACCACTCTAAAACAACTTGGGTGCAGTTGTTGAGATTGAAATCTGATGGATATAGTGCCATCAGAAACTTCATTTAGTTTGCAAAAACTCAATTTGAAGCCACTGTTAAGATAATGAGATCTGACAATGCTCTAGAATTTAATGATGTTAAATGCAGGGAATATTTTGGAGACTTGGGAATTATTTATCAAACCTCATGTGTTGGTAGACCTCAACAGAATGGTAAAGTTGAGAGAAAGCACAAAAATGTTCTAGAAATGGCAAGAGCCTTGAGATTTGAAGTAGGTTAACCCTTACAATTTTGGGTTGACTGTGTTCTCACAGCAACCTACATTATTAACAGGTTGCCAAATTCTGTGAATGAAAATGTTTCACCTTATGAGAAAATGTTTGGCAATAAACCAGACTACTCATATATGAAGGTGTTTGGTTGTCTTGTAGTTGCATATAATCCTTCTCTAAGCAAAAATAATTTTGCCCCGAGAGGACTGCCTTGTGTGTTTCTTAGTTATTCTCAAAATCAGAAGGGCTGCAGACTCTTGAATCTAATCTCTCACAAATAGTTTGTCTCGAGAGATGTAAAATTCTTCGAGAGAGTATTCCCTTATCACAGGATGAACTCAACTCAAGAGTACAGGGCACTTGCAAGCTTAAAGATGCCAATGGATGATATCTCTTTAGAGAAGGATGTGCAAAAAGAACATAATGATGCTGATCCGGGAGAACTTGACAATCAAGAACAGAGTGATGAAGAAATTTTTAAAGAAATGCCAATGCAAGATCAGATGGTGACTAAACCAAAAATTACAATGCATCAAGAAGAAGAAAATCTAGTTCAACAACCTGAAGTGAGAAGATCCAGTAGAGTAAGAAAACCACCAAGCTGGACTAGACTATGAACTTGGCAACAAAATAGCTCAAGCAACATGTGTTGCTAATTCTATATCTGCTGTAGTTCACCCTCAATTTGGTTCATTTCTCTCACAAGTATCTGGTCAAGAAGATCCAATATGCTATAAAGATGCTGTTAAAGAAGAAAAATGGGTGGTAGCAATGAATGACGAGATAGCAACACTAGAAAAGAATGAAACATGGGAAATAACTCAACTTCCACCTGCAAAAAGAGCCATTAGCAGTAAATGGCTTTATAAAACCAAACTGAATCTAGATGGGTCAGTTGAGAGGTACAAAGCCAAAGTAGTGGTGCTGGGTTGTAGACAGAAACATGGGATAGATTATAAAGAGACATTTGCTCTAGTGGCAAAAATGAGCACTGTAAGATCACTCTTAGCAGTTGCTGCAATGGAGAACTAGTTGGTATGGCAAATAGATGTTAAGAATGCCTTCCTTCATGGAGACTTAGAGGAGGATGTATACATGACTATGTCTACAGGATACTCAGGGTGGCAGAGCAGAATTAAAGCCAATCAGCAAGTTCAGAACACTCCTAAGTCTTAACTAGTGTGCAAACTCAAGAAATCTTTATATGGTAAAAAACAAGTTCCCAGACAATGGTTCTCGAAATTTACCACAGCACTGGTACGGTTTGGTTTTTCTCAGTCCAAAACTGACTATTCACTCTTTGTGAAACAACAAGATCAGTCATTTGCAGTGGTTTTAGTGTATGTTGATGATCTCATGCTTGTTGGAAATGACATGTCTTTGCTTAGTGAAATCAAGCAATACATGTCATCTCAGTTTTATATGAAAGATTTGGGAGATGTGAGATACTTCCTTAGCTTGGAAGTAGATAGAATTGAACAAGGATTCTTTTTGTCTCAAAAGAAGTACACTTAGGACCTGATAAAGGAATTTGGGATGCAAAAGGCAAAGCTCGTAAAAATTCCCATGGATCCTCACTTGAAGCTTACTTACATCAATAGAGTAACAATATCCAATGTGACTGAGTATCAAAGACTCATTGGGAGACTCATCTATCTAGATCTCACTAGACCTGATATCACTTATGCATTAAACTCTCTAAGCCAATTCATGCAACAACCCACATCGGTCCACATGCAAGCAACAAAATGAATTTTGAGATACTTGAAACTGGCTCTGGAATAGGAAAATTTACTACCATATGAATCTGAGGCCATTTTGACTGTTTACGCTGATAGTGATTGGGGTGGGTGTCCAATCACCAAAAGATCAACCATAGGGTTTTGTATCATGCTGAGATCATCACCGGTGTCTTGGAAGTCCAAAAAGCAACATGTTGTTGCTAAATCATCTACTGAAGCAGAATATAGAGTCATGGCTCTAGCAACTTGTGAAGTCACTTGGATCAAGCAATTACTCAAAGATCTAGGCTTGAACAAATTTGGCCCAAATGTGCTGAAAGTTGACAACAAAGCTGCATTGTCCATTGCTGCGAATCCAGTTCGCCATGAAAGAACGAAGCATGTTGAACTAGAGTGCCATTTTGTGAGAGATAAGGTCATAGCAGGGGAGATTATGCCTTAATATGTACTATCACACAACCAACCTGCTGACATCTTCACGAAGCCTATGACCATTAATCAGAAGTAGTGTTTATTTCCCAAACTAGAAATAACTTCACACCATTCCTATTTTAAGGGGAAGTGATGAAGGATAAGTCCAGGATTAGGATAATTATCTACTTATTTTCCTGATAGTTTTTTTTGTCCTGTAGTTCTTGCTATTTGTTTTTCTGTAATTCTGTATTTTGCTTTGTAATTTGTACGTAGTAGGTAAGTAGGCAAATTATCCTTGGGATTGAGTCCTAGGAGTATAAATAATGGGCTGCTTATGATATGCAATCAATCTTTTCAGTCGTCATTTTCTGCTTTCCTATTTTCATTCTCTTGCACGGCTTCTCTCACTAAAGACTAATTTTTTTTTTTGAAACAAAAGTATAGCATCATATATTAAGAAGATAAATCCAAAGTCGCAAGAGTTACAATACTTTGTGGGAAAGGGGAAAAACGAACTACTTCCGGAGCATTACCCACCTCACTTCTAGCTACCAAATGAGCCACTGTGTTACCCACCCTTTTCACATGAGAGAAAAAACATTTATCAAAGGAGGATTTTAGTATGTTGATATCCCTGTAAATAGAAAAGATAGGCGCTCTACCCCTAGCCAAAGACTCAATCGATTTTATCACACTTTGCGCATCAGGTTCCACCCAAATATCCTTGTATCCAAACCTTTGAGCAAGCAAGAGAGCATACCTTACAGCTTGGGCCTCAACACATTCAGGGGAAGATAAAGGTACACTCTTCGTAGCCGTAGAGGTCAGCTGGCCAGTATGGTTTCTGCATACCACTCCTAATGCTGCCCGATTCTGTTCACCAAGATGTGCATCCACATTAATTTTCACACACCCCATATCAGGACACTTCCATTTAGTAGCATGTTTCTGTAATGAACTTGCTGCCCTTTCGTATACTCGCCCAGAATATCCCTTATAATCAGCCACATAAGTGCAGTAACCCATCGCCAATTGTACTGCATCAGGTTCAAAGTTTTCGAACACTTTAGTATTTCTACATCGCCATGCCGCCCACATTAAGGCTGCCATTAAGATTAGAGTTTCCTTAGAAACCTTATTCTTTAACCATTGCCATCGATCAATAAAGGAAGATGTAGGGGCCTCAACAATTAGATCTTCAAATTTGCTCTTACTCCAAATCGCTGTTGCAGCTGTACAAGAGAACAGGGCGTGTATGATTGACTCTTCAGGTGATCCACATATGTTACAGCTGCTGTTCGTAACAATGTGACGTTGATACAGTCTCAACTTTACAGCCATATTGCCCTTCAAAGCTATTCCATATAAAATGCTTGAGTTTTGGGGGAGCATTTAAGGCCCATACCGATTTCCAAATATTTTCTGTAATGTTGCTAGAAAGACCACCCACCCTTAACATCCAATAGCAAGATCTAACAGTAAACTGCCCATTCTTTGTGAACCTCCAATATGCTTTGTCCTCTTCATTCATAAGTGGCAAAGGCTGTGCAAGAGTTAAGTCCGCATCGACCCCTAGAACATCTCTAACAAGCTGCTCATTCCATAGTCCAGGAACATCACTCATTAATTCTGTCGCGGTCTGCTCTTCATTTGCAATCAGATTTCCCCCTTGTGGATCCACCCTGACCCCTTCACGAAACAGCCAAGGGTCCTTCTAGACCCTTACCCCCCTGCCATTACCAATCTTCCACCCCAAGCCATCTCGGAGAACACCTTTAGCCCCCCACCAGCTTCTCCACAGGTAGCTTGGATCATAACCCCTGCACGCACCTAGCACCCCAGACCGTTTAAAATATCGGGCCTTGAGTACAGCATGAACCAGAGACTCTGGGTTGGTGAGCAAGCGCCAGCACTGTTTTGTGAGAAGTGCTTGGTTAAAGTTCTTCAGATCACGAAAACCCATCCCACCAATGCCTTTAGGAACACATAATTTATCCTAAGACTGCCAGTGAAATTTACGCTTTGCTTTCGAGGAACCCAACCAAAATCTACTCATCAGCTTATGGATTTCCTCAATGATGCTATCAGGAATCCTGAACAAACTCATTATATACGTAGGCATAGTCTGAATCACCGCTTTTAGGAGTACCTCTTTTCCTGGCTTCGAAAGAAGTTTATCCTTTCAGCAGCTTAGCTTTTTGCGTATTCTGTCACAGATTCCCCCAAAGATAGCTTTCTTTGTCTTCCCGATAATTGTGGGTAACCCTAAATATTTTTCGTGTTTATCAATTTCCTTAACTCCCAGCATATCAACAATAGTATTTCTTCTATCGGCCGGCACCTGTTTACTAAACGCAACTTCAGTTTTATCTAGATTAACATTTTGGCCCGATGCTCGTTCATACTTCCTGATAATATCAGTAATTTCAGAGCATTCCTGTAAAGTAGCTCTCGTAAACAGGATACTGTCATCCGCAAAGAACTAATGAGAAATTCTGGGAGCAGCCCTGCAAACTTTCGCCCCATGTATTGATTTATTCCTGGCAGCCTTTAATAACAAGCAAGAAAAGACATCAGCACATAGTAAGAATAGATACGGGGATATGGGGTCACCTTGTCTCAATCCCCTTGAAGGATTGACAGAGCCATAGACTTCATTGTGTAACTTGAAGGAGAAAGACACCGTAGAGATACAGTCCAACACTCTTTTACACCACCCATCAGAAAAACCCATTTTCCTCATTACTTTCTCCAAAAACCGCCATTCCACTCTATCATAGGCTTTGCTCATATCCAACTTCAGGGCCAGGTTTCCGCGTCTCCCCTCCCCACCTCTCTTCATAGCATGAAAGATTTCAAAAGCTATGGTGGCATTATCTGTAATGAGACGCCCTGGTATAAAAGCACTTTGGTTTGCAGAAATAATGTTGTTCAGGAAAGGTTTTAGCCTATTAGCTAGAGTTTTCGATATGATTTTGTATAAGACATTGCAACAACTAATAGGTCTAAAATCTTTCATTTGCTTCGGTTCATAACAATTCGGGATTAGTAATATGCATGTTTTATTTAACACAGAAATATCAAATCTCCCCTCCCACCAATACTTAACCATACAAACAATGTCATGTCCAACAACATGCCAAAATTTTTGAAAAAATAATGCATGCATACCGTCAGGTCCCGGAGCTTTATTGGGATGCATTTGAAACAAAGCTAGCCTCACCTCCTCTGTAGTAGGAACAACATCCAGGATCTCATTCATTTCTGCTGTTACCAGGGGAGATACACATTGGATAGTCTCATCAATGTCCGATGGGTTTCCAGATTGAAAGAGGTTCTCAAAATACTTTACAACAGTGCTTTTAATCCCTTCCTCATCTTCTCTCCAAGCACCCTCAGAATCATAAATACCATCAATCCGATTCCGGACACGTCTGTAACTTGCTTTTCGGTGAAAGTAAGCTGTGTTTTTATCACCATCTTTCATTTCGTTTGCTCGAGCTCTTGAGTACCAATACGATTCCTCCAGCCTCCTTAACTCAGTAATTTCCTCTACGAGTTTCTCACATTTCTCAAGTACACGGCCATCCAGAACCTCCCCTTGGGCTTCTTTTAGTTCCTTCTCCCGGTCCTTCAGTTTCTTTTTTATATCCCCAAACTTCTTCTGTGCCCATGATGTAAGAGAGCTCGCACACAAAGTCACTTTTTCATGAGGCATAGCCACAGCATTACCCTTCCATGCCCTATCTACCACCTCTTCACACTCAGAGCTTGATAACCACCAGGCTTCAAAACGGTATGGCTTGCTTCTCTTCCCTCGATCAAAAACAGTAGCTGTGTTCATCATTATAGGCGCGTGGTCAGACGATATCCTCACCAAATGTTGAACCTCAGCTTGAGTAAACAGATGGCACCATGCCTCATCTCCCAGAAATCTATCGAGACGTTCACGGATGACAGTCTCCATGGTTCTCCCACGCTGCTAGGTGTAAGCACAACCTTTGAAGCCCATATCTCTTAAATTACAGTCTTCGATGGCTTCACGAAAATTCAGCATTAGACACTCTCTCCTCCTTATGCCACCTTCCTTCTCTAAAGAGTTAGTGATCTCATTAAAATCGCCAAAAAATAGGCACGGAATAGTACACTCCCCCTTTAATTTCCTCATCAACTCCCATGTCTTGTATTTATTTTCAGCTTCCGGCCACCCATAAATACCACACGCCCTTCAAAGCGGAACGCCCTCAACATCACAAATATCCAGAGCACAATGATGGTCTGAATAAGACACCATTGAAGCATTAATGTCATGCCACCAAATACAAAGACCTCCTGCTCGCCCCCTACTGCTAATATTAATCCCATGCTCAAGACCACAACGATGCTTAATTCTCTCCATAATGCTAGCATTTACCTTGGTTTCCATTAGGAACACCACATTTGGCGTCTCCCTCCAGCATATATCCCGAAGGGTACTACTTGTCTTCGGGTTGCCAGCCCCGAAGACATTCCAGCTCAGAAGTTTCATTGTTGTTCGAGGGAATGGGTTTCACCATTCACCTCTACTTAGATATTACCGTCCCCGGTTACACCATCGCCCTCCTTCTTTCTTCTCTTTTCCCCCTCCACCTGCATTACCAACTCCCCATCCTTGTCATTATCCCACATAGACCTCTTGTTCCCTGCCTCACTCTTTCCACTTGCCCCTTTTTTTCTTATCTCACCTGTGTAACCCATGTGCATTTTGTCAATTCTTTGCCATCCTCTTTTCTTAATACCCATATCCGCAGTTTGCACAGTTTCATCACCTTTCGGATGCATACCTAGTTGGGGCCTCTCTGTATCGGTTGCATCTTGAGTGGGATTGCATTCTAATTCTTCTTCCCCCTCATCTTGCCCCTTTACAGGGTTTTTGTGCTTGGATATTAAGGGTGTCAATCTATTATCACCTTGGTTGTTGTACTTTTCATCATTAAGTACCACCACCTGAGCCTCTCTTTCCTTACCCTTGCCACTTTGCACAATCTTACCCCCTTCCTCCCTATGATTTCCCATATTGGGCTTATGGGTGAATACCAGGTTTCTACCACCATGCAACCTGTCCATCTCTTCCTTTTTTTGTGATAGACCCTTCCGTGGAGATGCTCTTAGCCACATACCCCATTGTTTCCCCTCCCCCTCTTCATCTCCCTCCTCATTAGGGCAGTCCTTCTCAGTGTGACCAAGAATACCACACGAGAAACAGAGATTCGGTAGACGTTCATATTTAAATTGAACATATGTGTCTATACCCTCTTTGTTTCGGATCTTTTGAATCCTCCGTATAGGTTTCGTGGTATCCAGTAGGATCCTCGCCCTTCTTGATCTATCCCACCCGAGCAAATCATCTTCCACCTCCAGAACGTATCCCACTTTCTCTGCAATAGTTTTAACATCTCGATTCGATCGACAATCAAGTGGTAAATTATATAATCTAATCCAGAAAGGGCATAATCTCATATCAATCGACTCGGGTTGTTCTGCCCCATTAGTCTCCTTCAATATAACAACATTGTTATCAAATATCCATGGTTCTCCGTTCAGAATTTTCTCCCTATCCTTCCAATGAAAAAATTGAATGATGAAAAGGTTGTTCTCAATCTTTCTAAATATTACTCCTCTAGATAACGACCATACCTTCTTCAGGGTGTTCTGCATAGCCTCAAAGTTGTATGGTCTGATTGACAATACTTTCCCAACTAATGAGAGGTCAATATTGTCTACCGAGCGATCCACTTCATTCTTCTCCAAAATTGCAACATCCTCCTCATCATTTGTGATCCGTAATTTCTCCCACCGTCTCGTTAATTCCTCAGTCATACTCTCGAAAGCCAGAAACCAATGATTATCAACACGATCCCCACAAAGAGGACAAGACTTGACGAGCAAGATAAAACACTCGACGATGAAACCCTAGAAAACTAAGGAACCGCTGCGAGACTTTCACTAAAGACTATTTAGTCTTCACAATTTCGTTTTGAAAAGTAATTCAAAACGAGATCCATTCGTGATACTGTATTTTTTAGTCGATTAAAAAATAAAAGGTTTTAAAAAATAATATTCAATAAAAAGTAATTTCAGCTCAACAAAAATGATTTCATATAAGAAATATAATAGAGAATTAGGGCATGCTCTATTCACCTCATTTTCACTTATTTAGGTTTAATAAATTTGGATGAGTTTAGTTAAGTTCAAATAAGTTCAGTTCGGGAAAAATAAGTTTTGATAAGAGGTACTCAAGTTCAAAGTATAGCTAAAATAAGTTTTTGTAAGGTTTAATAAGTTCAATTTAGTTTAGATAAGTTTAGTTAATTAATTTCAGAGAAGTTTAGATAAGTAAAAATCAGGTGAATAGAATACACCCTTATTACTAAAAGTAATTTTAGTTTAGCAAAAACAATTTCAATTGAGTATCACTTCAACAAAAATAATTTTAGTCCAACAAAGATAAGGTAAAGTGAACATGAACTTATCCTATACAAGTAATGTATTATATTATTTGATATTTTTTCTATGGATCCCACATGCTTAAATTTAGTACTATGTTACAGAGTGTTATTAATACTTAATAAAAACTACTCTTATTACAATCAACTTAAAGAGAAGAGAGCCTGTAAAATGTCGAGATCTCCTCACTAGAATATATAAAAGTCCAAAACTTTGGATTAGGCCTATTACATATTGATATACTTCCTCTATTTTGTTTTAAATGCATCAATTTGACCAATATATTTGCTAAAATATACCTTTAACCATTAGTATCTTTAATTGTCTATTAGTAAAAATTGTACTAAAATTATATTATGAAAGTAGACACTATGATGAATCTAATGATATATTATATAATACTCCGTAATATTTATTTATTTTATAATAGCAAATAAATTACGTTAAATATGGTATGTGAATAATGCAAAAGTCAAACCGGTGCATTTAAAAGAGATTTAAAAAAAAAGGAGGAAGTAATTTACATCAGCCTCCATATTTGAAAGGTATATACAACACGTTAACAAGAATCAGTGATATCAAAATAACAAGAGAACATAAAACAGAGTCTTCTTCAGGGCATGCTTGGATTGGGGGTAATATATTAAGGGGTAATAAAAGTCAAACTTGAAAAAACATAAGTAGCTAAAGGTTTGTTGTAGGAGACAATGTGTTTACAAATGAAAAAAAGTAGTTATACCACAAGGAAAAGAGCGAGATGGAGGAATTATTATCCTCATAATGAGGGCAATAGTTATCCACCCTCCTCCTAGTATAACTATTACCCCTAAAATGAGGGTATTAGTTCCTCTTTCTTCACCTCATATTACACCATCAATACATAATTTTCCTTACAATCATACCATCGCTATCTCCTCCTTCCATATATTCACTTTCATTTTGCTTAGTTTGACTTTTACTACCCTAGTAATACATCTCCCCCAATCCAAGCATGCCCTCAACCCTCAGTTCATCCTCTATCCTTATATTCTGCAAGTAATTTACAGAAAAATACAGAGATTCATATCCCAAAAAGAGTTCAGCTTTCTAAACTCAACATATATTAAATTAAGAAAGAAAATCAAGATAATCAAACAATATGAACATCACTAACAAAATGTACAACTAAAAGCAGCCATGATTAGAATTAGACTAGAATTAGTCAAATGTAAGAACCCTTCAAATGCCGATTTCGATGTTAAGTTCTTCCATTAGATGTCTTGTTAAAGGACTTTGTGCCTTCATTTGTCATAAGTTTTTTATGACTTAGCCTTCGAATCGTGTAGTCTTTCTTCGAAACTTTCGAGTTGGTTGGAGAAACAGAAGTTTTTGACATGGTAGGAATAACATACCATCCAATTGAGGTGCACATAATTGCAAAAGATCTACCAAATAATACCAAGAACACCAAGATTAATATAACAACCATTAGTAATATCAACTTGGGCTCTTTCCATTGTTCAATCCTTATTTTTTTTGCCACATCCCATTTTCTTTTTCTTCTTGTTAATCTCATTTTCAGCCTTATTTTCTTCTCTAGCATTCATTGATTTTGAGGATTGCAGCTTCCTTAGAGTTGATGTCTTTAAATCAGAATCAGATTTTGGTTGTTCGACTACTAGATCAGGAGAAGCCTTATGCTTAGCCTTGACTACAATGGGCTTAAAATCGTGATCGCCCGAGTAGGAGAAACGAACTAGGGAAATCTCATCAGGTTCAACCTGTGAGTAGATTTGCTGTCTTTTTTCTTCAATTTCTGCTAGAAGAGCTGAAAACTTGTCCAGCCCTCGGCTCGAATACGGGTTCTTGTTGCTGCTGCTCTTGGATCTTGATCGCCTTGGTGAAGAATCCGCGCTTCGAGTTTGTCGTTCATATTCATCTTCTTCACGCGGGAAACTATGAGTACCGCAAATGAAGCCACTCACCATTTTTTTGAGGAAATAGTACAGGAGTTGTAAATTTGATGAAGTAATAATAATAATAATAATAATAATAATAATAATAATAATAATAATAATAAAACAGAGAATTTTGGTTGGTTTTATGAGAAGGGCAAAAAGAAAATAGGCTTTTTGGTATTTAAACAAAAAAATGAGGCTATTAAATTAATTGAGTGCGGTTGGATGAGGATTGGAAGGAAATAATAGTCAAATAACATGAACTTTGAAATGGATGAACTCCAAATAGAAACTTCTACTCTACATATATTGTATTGATTGAGATTGTATGTTCATTGACTTTCTTGAGGAACAAGTCTAGAAACTTATATCATCATGCATGTGACACAGATAATACATTATACATTGTTTGTGATGTTTAATTCTTACTGCACTTCTTAGAAGGAGAGACTTTTATGAAATATAATTACATATCATTTTTTAGGGTATTATTTTATTGTATATCAAATCATGTCAAGGTGGTTATAGTGTGTACAACAAATGTAACAAGCTGTTCATTGTGAGCTCTTTAAAAAGATCAAATATGAGAAAAGGTTAATGTAATAAGAGCATATATTTCATTGTTGGGACGTTTTCTCAAACTAAGCTAATTTTGGGAAATATTCACCAAAATGGTTGCGTGGTAAAAGTATTTACCAAACTAAGTTTTCAGGCTAAAACGTTGTCTCGGTCAGCGTTTTATGCCTGGATTTTTTTTTTTTAAAAAATCAACTTTGGGACAGCGTTTTTAAGTGTTGACTTTTTTTTTAAGTTTCTTTGTTATTTCAGAAATTGTAAGGATTTTAAATATATAAAAGACATAAAACGCTGTCTAGGACAGCGTTTTATGTACAAAGTTTGTTGTACCTAAAACACTGTCTCAGACAGCGTCTTATGTTCAACATAAAAGTTGGATGTTTTGAAATTGTGAGTTTTTATAAAAGTTACAAAAAAAAAAAAAACAAAAAAAAAAACAAAAACACACATAAACTGTAGGGTTTCGTAGTGACCTGACACTACGCGGAAGAAAACCCACCAAGACCCGCCCCTTAATTAAAACAATTAACAAGCATATTAAACTTAATCAAACAAGATTAAGAACAAGAATTATACCTTTGACGCGTGCTTCGCTCCCAAAGAGCTCTTACTTCAAAATCCCGAAAACACGAGATCTCTGACGGATCGTACCCTCGACCCGACCCGAGCGTCCTAAGTCTTAAAGGTTAGTCAAGACCCGGACAAAATAACTATGAGTTTTACGAATCAAAGGTTTACTCTTACTTAGAGTTGCCTTTTTAATTCCACTCAAGGTTGTTCATTCCCAAATACCCAAGCTTGGTATTTATAGGGCAATGATCCCTGGATTTCCAATCTCCCATCAATGTGGGAGAGTTGGTAAAAATGATAATTATTTAATTCCAAAATTAAATGATTAATCAATTCAATCACAAATCGACACATGGCACAATAATAGAGAAAGCCAAGTGAGGACCAAGGCTTAGGGGGGACCATTGCCTTGATCCCCAAGGCCTTGATTTGGTCCCCACACTCTATGCACAAAACCGGGTCAAGGAGGGCTAGCTGGCTGCCAGCTAGCGTGCCAGCTAGGGCTGCCAGCTAGCACCGCCTTGCTGCCCTGCACCCAGCCAGCCAGCCAGTGCGTGTTGCTGCTGGGCTGTGCTGGCGCTGGTGCGTGCCAGTGCCATGCGCTGGTACGTGCTGGCGCTGGTGCTATGCCTCGCATCTCTCTCTCGCACCATTGCTAGCATGGCCAGCCATACGCATCAATCTCGCACACCATGCAAGCCACGCATGCAACCCCTCTCGCATGCAATGCCTAGCATGCGTGCTGCTAGCAAGCCACGCATGCTTGGCTTGACGTTGCTTGCTTGGTAGCTCTCCCTCGCATACACTCGCACAGCCACACGCACCAGCCTTGGCCATGCACCATGCACTATAAATGCACAAGCCTCGGCCAAGCACCACGCATGCGCCAGTGCCTAGCACTAGCTGTGCTTGGTGCGTGTGGTCCTGCCATGCGCCCAGCATTATGCTAGGGATGCGACGGCACCCGACCATCCTAGGGCACGCATGGTGCGCCTAGAGATGTTGTCTGGGCTGCTATGGTGCCCAGCCATCCTAGGGCACGCATGGTGCGCCTAAGGATGTTGTATGGGCTGCGATGGGCTGTGATGGTGCGCCTAGCACAACTAGTGTGCTTAGGCTTGCCCCTAGCCATGCTAGGTGCATGCTAGCTTGAACTAGCCTAGCATCCACAAGCCTAGGCCAGTGCGGTGCTAGGGCTATGTTCATACTTGTCGCTTTGTGATTTTACGACGCTCGGTCTCGACGCCCTAGGCTCGATATCCGACGTCTGTATTCGTAAAACTCTGCTGA